TTGGTCGCTTTGCTGGCTACTACCACTCAGGGCGAGGTGATATCTTGAGGCTTTGAGGGCAGGGCGTGGCTGCGATCCTCAATTGCTATATTGCTCCTCGGCGCGACTAGTTTGGGAGTGCCTGCCATGGTGGGGGCTTCTTACTTGGAAAGTTAGGTGCTTCTTCCTGATCTACTGCGAAGGCAGTGATAACAGGCGTGCTCTTTTCCAACAGAGTCACGACGACTGCTGCTGCTTGCTTCTCTACTTTGTCCTTAGCCCAGGAATCGTTTTGTTCAAGAAATTCCTGGGCTATACCCAATCTTTCTTTTCTTTGTTATTCTGCTTTTTGCATTGTATTCACAATACCAAGCAGGCTTGGGTGAAGTTGCCCTCCAATCCAGGAGGGCGTTGTCGATGACGACACAACAGCTGGGGCCATTGCACCGGTTGAAGATTCTTGTTAAAAAGGGTAATGAGTGATGCGATGTGGGATGGGTAGGAAGTAAAAAATGTAACGGATTGCTTCAGAGTCATGGAACTCGATGATCAATGATTCTCTAAATTCTTGAATATACTACCGATTATTCCCAAGGTCAAATTTACATGGGGCAAATTGTTTCGGACTATTATGAAGTCATTTTGGCTTCATTGTGCGCGAGCTCAAGGAAAGGAGGCGCGTAATCGGATCAACAATCACCTCGTAGGAGCGGGAGACTTTTAGAGACCTGAGCAGCTAGGCTTCTGTTTAACTTCAGCTCGTAAAGCGCGTTGGGAGAGTAAAGAAATTAAAACTGTAGAGAAGGAATGTTAATACCCAATTAGTATCAGGGTGCTATATTAGCTAACTATTACGACTAAGTTGGGTGGCATGGGGCTCTGGTACACTATTCGGGCCTTTCTCGCAAATAGAATCTGGATGGCTTGAATATCTACCCCATTTGAGAGATGGTTCGAATCCAGTAAAACATACACACCTCTCTCTCTCCCGCGGTGAAAATTTATTTTTGAGATGACGAATGCATACGCGGAAACCCATAGGTTGATGCGGATAACGCTGTGGTGGGTATGTACGGAAGAGGTGTGTGTGTATGTTTTATTGTACTACTTCAGTCTATGACTATCTAGCACATTGGGCTCCTCTCCGGCCCAGGCCACACCTTGTACAGTGCTCTTATCCTCTTTTGTTACTTGAAATATCATTGATATATTCCCCTTGATGAATAGCTATTCAGCTCAGTATTTACCCGTGGAATTCAGCCACCTTTTCCGCGGAACCTTCTACCCAAAAAAAATAAAAATGGTAGCAATGGAAACTGCGTGCGCGGGAAAAAGTCTCAAAAAACCTGCTGCCCCAGCCAGGCGAGGCCTAGACACCGGGACCACATGAGCTGCGCACATTCATCTATATCTCCCTTCTTTGTAACACTCGAGGTCGACTTGATCCAATCCACCGTTTCCGTATCGGGTGCTGGGTACGCTCCAGAAACTCATCGGATGGCTTTTCCTCCATGATCAAGGGTTGCTGATGAGTAGGGCTCCGACCCTACCTGTTGACATTTCTATCTTGTTGTCGACCCGTACAAACATAGCGTATAAAAGTAACTCATATTAATACTCAGGATTGCGATGGATGGCAGAGATTGATGGTTTCTATGGCAGTGCGGGGCCTGGTAATTAGTGACAGGTAGATGACACGTGTATATATATATCGCGCACTTGACTCCTCTTTAATATGATGATGCTTTCGACTACATTCACAATGCCCATACCTACTCTGGGCTAATTATCCCTTACTATATCGGTCCTATCTTCTGATTAATGCCCTTTTTCGCCCTTTTATCTTAAATGACAGGTCATAATATTCTTCGTCTTGCTGGCCATCATCAAGCTCAGAGTTATGGACAGATTAAATCTTTAACACTACCATCTGATCTGATCGTGGTTAGCTTCATGATAATGGTGATAGGGGTATGTGTTGAGAGATGAAGATGATACAGACCGCGAAAGCGATTGGGAATCCTCGTCGAAGTGAGGACTTTGTTACTCAATCTCGGCTCTGCAGACTCTACAGTGAGAGCTGGAGGTTCGTAGGGGACACCACTAATAGGTGTTGAGAATAGTCCCCCTACGGAAGAGGTGACAAGCCGTAAGGATAAACCTCCAGTGGTATCTGCAAAAGAAATCTGAGTGTGAGTGTTCAAAACGTCAAATTAACTCATCCTACTCAAAGTATATATCTTCCCATAAAGCCTGCATGAGCCTCAAGGCGCCAAATCAGATAAAATGAACTATATATGGAAGGTGTTGTGGTTCGCCTCCTGGTGGTGTTCTCCGGTATAGTCTGAGTAGCCTGGGCACCTACTCCACTTGGAAAGGAGACGCCTCAGATTACATTTCGCGCGGAGAAAAGTTGAAAGATAATGGAGGCATGTCTGGATAACTCAGGGTTTTTGAGACGTTCCCCTGGGTGGGTATTCACGGATGAGGGTTGACTTGGGGTGAAGAAAAAGCCACAGTAATTTCGCAGTGGTACTCGCAAATAAAATCCGAGGCATGAGTGCTCTTCTTGTAAGTTGAGTCATTTTTTCGGTACTTTTCTTTGATACTGTGTCATAGCCAGAAAGCTGCATACGCAATTAAAATCTGATGAAAAAAAAAGAGTGGTGCATCAGAAATTGATAATACTTGGATAGATTAGAATCCTCGTCCTATCATAGTAACTTTTCGGGTTAATTGGTCCAATAGTTAAGTGTTAATTCTCAGCTGTCAACCTCTCAGTGTATGGATTGTCACAGTTTTAGTACAAAATGCTTCGGCGATCTTGTAGGTATAGTATATTTATTATAAATCTCTAGAGAGAGGATTCCTGTATCTAGAATACAAATATATATACTCTGAGATACTCCTCTTCTGTAAGGTTCTCCCTATATCTAGAATAATATGGACTTCTCGACAATACCCTATAAGATTCTTGATACACCTGTTGTCCTCATGAGCCTTCTAATTTCCTTGTATTCCGGGATCCTTCCCGAAGATTCCCTTGCATTCATTGCCTGCGCTAGCCAGCGTTGGCTACAGGAATCCCTAGGCTTAACAACCGTTACAATCCCCCTTCTCTTCCTCAAGGGGAAGATATTTTACTTATTAAATTACCCCTTTTTATGGCGTTCTCTTCGCATTTTTCGGACGTGAGTCTCGGCCTGACCAACGTATCTACCTGAATCACTCTCTGAGGGGCCATTATTGGTTGTTATTGGACTATAGGTGTCTTCAAATATCCTTAAAGCCTCCGTGTCTGAGATGTATTCAATCGGCTCCCATGTCGGCTCTACCCATCCAGTCCACTTTACCAGAGCTTGCCTGAAGTTACCACGGCCGTTTCTCACTGTTCTTGCTCTAATTATCGAGTCGACTTCGTATTCTTGCTCATCCAGGTCATCAAGAATAGCGTGATTTTGTGCATTGTCCCACCGCTAACTTGGGAATGGGTCCGCGCCTGCCCGCTTTACCAACTCAACATGAAAGCGGTTGTGAATATTCCCAGGGACGTTCAACTCTACAGTTAAAGGGTCTGGAACTGCGGTCACATCGTACTTCGCATGAAGCTAGGCTAGCTTCTTGGATAGTTGAGGCGTTTTCACATTCCGGAGATCTAGCCAAACCTTGTCACCCACTTTGAATTTATCTGGTTGTCCCCGAAACCGATTTGCATTCACCTCGTTTCGCTGCTGGGCTGAAGCCATCGCTGCCTGTGCAAAGTCTTGTGCATCCCTTAACCGTTTTACGTAGTCCTGGGCAGATAGCCGTCCTGGATGTCGAAAACTATTTTCTAAGTTGGGCGTGGGTTCTGCCAGAGGTTCTAAATCATATCCGTGCCGCAGGAAAAACGGACTCAGTCCCACAATCGCTGAACTCGGTCGTGAATTTAATGCCAGTTGGGCTACAGGAATCCCTAGGCTTAACAGCCGTTACATGTATCATTTTCTAATTCCTCCTAAAAAAGATGGATTATGGTGATTTTCAACCGCAAAGGCTCAACTCTAGTATCGCTTTGCTTCCGTTTCGGTAGAGCCCCCTAGTAGGCCTGTCATTCATTGACCCTGTATCTTCGTTATTTTATGGAAGGTTTTCAAAATCTCTATATCGGTCCAATACTTTTGGGGATCAAGCTTGCTCAAAGTCTTTTTCTTGACATTGTTGTTCGTCCTGGCTCTTTCTTACAGCGCACTTTTAATCCAAAATATCTAATCTTGATCCAGACGTGTGAGTTTTGCTCTGATATCTACTAGATGCAAAATCGAACTCACAACAAGAGTTACCTGTACTCGACCCGAAAATCCAACATTCTCTTTCTCCGACTACTTGCTTTTCATAGAAGCCTGATTAAAGTAAGAGCTCTGATCCGTAATTTCTCGGTCTATGTTCAAAAATCCAAATTTCACTATTTTAGTACGACGTTAACAATTTCGCCAGCGATCGTTGCAGAAAATTCGTAAGAGGAATATCTGCGCTCCAGATGAGTCGTAGACCATGAAAGTTTAAGCATGCCATAGAAAGCTACCGTATGACACTTAGAGAAGTCTTTGTGTATAAGTCACAAGAATCGTAGCAAAATTAATGTATTATCCCTTTTTGTATCTGTTCTTAAACTTTTGACAATTCTCAGGTATGCACGCGAAACCCTTACTAAGTTTTACACCATGATATTTAGAGCAGGAGAAGTCTCACAACGTTATACCAATAGGGAATATCAGGACTCTAACTAAACCCCCCGTTGCGCTTTTGATAACAGAATCAGTGATTCGCTAGCTTGCATTTATTGTTCATGCTTTCACAACGAAAAGCAATAGATGGGACTATCCAATAAGCAGATCTCAAATTTAGGAATATGATCCATTGGTTCCTTATGGCTCTTAATGATGTAATTTCATAAATGTAACAGTCCAATTTACTTTTTTATAGCGATGATCAAAAACGGTTTTGGGAATTTTGAATTACGTTCGGACTTCATTGCCCGATTATACGGCAGTGCGAACTGCGCATTTGAAAGGGTAGATTTGGACCTTTATACCAATGCATTGTTAGTATCAATTCATTGGACCGAGCTAGATAGGATCATATAGAACTGACCTTACTAAAATCCCAAACACCTGCCTCGGCGTAAACATCTTTTTTAAGCTTTTCAATGACCTCCTCACGGCTCTCTGCGCACGCAATTACTGCGCTTCCCTGGATTTTCAAATCTTCCGAGCCTTTGGGAACGTCTTCTAAATACGCTCCTTCTAAAAGTCAACCTTGAATGTTTCATGTAATTAGGATGACCAACCACCCATCTTCCAAAATCCTTTCTCATGATCCTTTTTAAGGTCCTCGATATGTTGTCTAATACCAGAGTTCTTTAGCTCAAATAAATTTCACCATAGAAGTATTCTTACGGTCTCACTGCCATTCGAGCTTCCTGTTTTCCCGGGAGATCCGGTAAAATAACGAGCCACTCCATTGCATTAGATTTAGTCGTCATGTTACGCCTAAGCCTCTGAAATAGAAGTAAATGTCGCAAGGAATGAGTTAGAGCCGGCATTGTTCAATGTGCTGAAATAAGCGAGACAATAAAGTGTCCTATGACGGTTTTTCATGTATATTTTCACATCCCTACAACAAAACTCGTAGGTCAAACACATAGTAGGAGCCTTGAAGAGTTTAAAGCTCGACACCCACTAGGAATAGTGTCTGTATGTGTTTATTTTACCACCTGGGTCTATGACAATCTCATACATTGGGCTTCTCTCTGGCCCACGCCACACATTATATAGTGCACCTAACCTCTTTTGCTCCTAATAGGAGCTCTCATGTAAATCCGATGATCAATGGCCATTCAGCTCAGAGTTTACCCGTAGAATTTAGCCACCCTGTCCACGGAACCTTCTACCCAAAAAAAATAAAAATGGTAGCAATGGAAACTGCGTGCGCGGGAAAAAGTCTCAAAAAACCTGCTGCCCCAGCCAGGCGAGGCCTAGACACCGGGACCACATGAGGTGCGCATATTCATCTACATCTCCCTTCTTTGTAACAGTCGAGGCCGACTTGATCCAATCCACCATCTCCGTATCGGGTGCTGGGATCGCCCCGGAAACTCATCGGATGGCTTCTCCATGATCAAGGGTTGGTGATGAGAAGAGCTTTGACCCTACCATCTAATCTAATCGTGATGAGCTTCACGATAATGGCGATATGGGGATGTGTTGAGAGATGAAGACGATATAGACCGCGGGAGCGATCGGGAATCCCCAGCGAAGTGAAGACTTTGTTACTTAATCTCGGCTCTGCAGGCTCTACAGTGAGAGCTGAAGTATCATAGGGGCCACCACTGACAGGTATTGAAATCGGACTCCTCATTAGGGCAATTCGTCATGGCTCCAAAAGATCTATCTGTTGCCTGTAGCAGCGCCTTTCCTCTTGTCCTAGACCACTGAGAACTCGCCAAGATTTTATGTTTGACGTTTAGTGCCGGATATTCAACTCGGCATTTTGGGGTTGCCACTTCGGGAGCAATTAGATTAAATTAGATTTGTAGATAGGCCCTATTGAGTCTAAGACTATGGAGGACTTCGTTAATCTAACCTAAGACCCAAATTACATTTAATAAATTTAAATTTGAAATATTCCAATATTAGTTCTCACATATGATGAGAGTAAAGCCCTTTGTATGTTGTACATGCATTTCTGCAGTGGTTTGCCTTTCAAGCCTTACATTTTCCTTCATTACTCACAATTATAATTGGGGATTCTTTGTTGAAATTTCCGAGGTTATTCCTCTTCACTCCCCTGATGCCATCTTCTGGTCATGGGGGCACTTCTTCAGTGCGGATAAGAGTTGTGGCCTATGTGCTCACCTCTCGATTGAAGGAGATAGAGGATCACTTAAAGCAGAGCGGAGAAGAGGGAATTATTTATTTGTTTATATATAAAAGTGTTGGAAATTCTGACTCTCGAATTTAAGACTCAATCATTACCTGTTTCGCCTCAGGTTCCCGACAAGATCGACTCTCTCTACAAATGTCCTGAGTACGCTAATCGCGCCTACTGTCGCCTATAGGTTTGGATATTTACGTACTACAGTGTACCTTGGCTCATCATGGTAGATGAGAGGTGTCTAGTCATCACTAGGTTTGACAGGCACACGAGGCTAGCGGGAATTTCTCCCTTAGATGTATAAGTCCAATGTTCCCATAGTTGTAAAATATTAAGTCTTCTTTACTTCATCATGTCTATCCATATAATATCGTACAGAGTATATTTTCCAACAAAAAGGTATCGTTCAAGACCATAAAAAACGGAGTAAATATATATCTAGTTAATCAGTTGGAAAGAATGAGCGATCATACATGCTGTGTTCTCTCGTCACACAAGTGGAGCCACGCTAGTACCCGTTCATACAAATCTTACAGGGGAGACGGGACTAGAGTGTGAATAGTGGATATAGGGATTACGTTGGGAACCCTTACGTTATGAAGGTAATCGTTACTAATAAGATTATAATTCATTTTCCAACACTCTCACCTAAATTTATATATTGATATTCGCCCATTGAAAGTTACAGTGGACATTGAGGGGTGTACTTCTACAGGTAATTATGTTTTTTCCAGTCATCTTATCGATGATGACGTTTGCTGGTTTCCAATATTCTGGGTTTGCAGACGCCCTATTGTAAGACAGCTACTATTTCTTTCTAAACTTCACCTTTTTCTTATCATAAGTATTAGTTCATTTAATAATATACAGGCTCCACTTCTTGTTGGAGGTGGAGATACAGAGTGTTCTGGACGAACGGGCCCTCCATTTTGTCTAGGTTCCCGACACGATCTTATGTGTAGTAAAGAGGTTAGAAGAGTAACATGGTAGTGCACCAGGCTACCTGTTAGATATACGAGCGGCTGTATTTTGTGGGCACAATAATTTATTTGGAGTTTTCTACGGCTTGATGGTGCCATATTTGTTTATACTGTGGCTTAGGCTCTGTGTTGCTGATACTTATGCTTACAGCGCACACCTCTTGCCCTTTTAGGATGACTATCATGCTAATGGATGGGGAGAGGAGATTTATTTTATTGTCCTGTCCGAGTCTATGACTATCTAGGACATGCAGGTCCTCTCTGCCTACAGGCCAAGGATACCTATACCAGTAGTATATCCCCTCCCATGCCTACCATACAGCTCCCATCAAACATTACTGCCCCTCACAAGTCCTCATTCGATCATACACTTAGAAAGGCCCTTTGCCCTTCATTATCTTCCCTCTCCAGCCAACGAAACGATGGCCGTTTGCAGGTGTATTGCAGCCGGGAAAATTGCAAAAACCACTGGGTGCGGGGCTCTTCTAATACCGACATTAGGACTAAATCCGAAGACATAGTGACCCTTCCGAAGCGTTCGAAGAGGCCGGCCAGCTGGGCGCTGCAGACTTGCGGGTACCTCGGGAAATTCACCCTCTGCCTTTCTAGCCTCCTTCCAACCTCTTCCCGAAGGTCGTGCTGAAATTTCAGAAAAGTCTTGATAGAGCGTGATTGCTGTATAGTAGCTTAGCCTAGCTTCTTTTGTACCGTCCAGGGCGCTGGGGAGTGCCGTTGACTCATCAACAGAAGAAGCCATCCCAGCTAATTAGCCGAAATCTCGGTTTTGGCGCCCACAAAAATTCCAAAGTTGAAAATCCCTCCAAAATGTCAGTCCCAGCATTATCTTCAGAGACCTGTTCTCCCTCAAGTTGTTTGTCCCATTAGAGCAACAGTCCCCCACAAGCCAAGACTCAGGCTTTGTATTTTTCGACTTGATTTCCTCCTTGCGGGTATAAATAGCGTCGTAAATATATAGTGAGAGATGGCTGGAGATTAATAGGGCAAGCTCCAGTATACAATTGGAGCAAGTTCTTTATTGGTCGTCGAGGTGAGATGATGCGTGGTTAGAGAGAGGTTGAGGACTCAGATGAGCATGAAAAGAGAGGTATTGTCGAGAAGTCGTCAAATGGAGATATGTTTGGGGTTGCTTTCGACTTCGATTCGGATGCGGTTCTTCTTGGCTATCCCAGGTATGCAGAGCATACTAAGCGATTACACTGGCACCTCTGGAAGGTGAAGAATTCGTCTTTCCCGGTTAGGGAGGGGAGATAATAGCGGGATAATAGATCCTCTAAATTTGTACTCTAACAAAGAAGTCTAGGGGGCTTACTGCTGGAAAGAAGCCTTGAAGGAGGCATAAGAGGGAGAGGACCACTCGAGCTACAGATATTCCAGATCTTTAGGCAGCGGAGTCCTACATGCTCTTACACAATGTATGACTAAATGGGAAGATTAACCCCTGGAAAAATAAGATCGTAGAAGAAATCAGATTGCTAGAGAATGCCTGTAGTAATCCGATGCTAGTGAGGGTCCTTTACATAAGCATATTGAATCCCAGTATTAATTGATGTGGATAAGTTAATATTAAGGAAAATACTTTAAATTTTTTATGCAAGGCTATTGGTAGCCCACATGATTGATATTCTCTAACCTACACCAATAAGATTTACAACGATATTTTGTTACAAAACAATTTAATTTTGATTTGACTCAAAAAATTAAAAAAACTAAGGGATGAAATCATGATAGTCATTAGTATTCAATCAAATAAGTCAAAGGTCCTCCTATAGGACAGTTAGAAGTAATAGTGTCATAAATGATATAGATGTGTAATAACATCATTCTCATATAATGGAAATTTATGTTCTCACCTCGAGACTTAGCCTCGTAGTAGATCCAGTGCGTTTTTAAAAGCAGTAACCACCTGAACATCTGTGAAGTTCTTAGGTCGAGTTTATCAGATTTTTAGTAAGACTTACAGTGCTCTTTTTTCTTTTTGAGGGAGGTCTCTGATAGTTGAACATACCTTTCCCGTGTTTTGAGCCTGCATCTTTGTCAGCAATCCTAATTGTTGATTTAAATTAGACCTCATGCCGTTTGACGGAACGATCAGTTTCGAGGGCAGATCCACTTTGTGCCCAGATAAAGAACATCTTAATTTTTGATCAGTAACAGAAAATAATATGTACTGAATACCCGAACCTCCATTAAGTGGTCAAACTGATCTAAGATTTGACTCTCTTCAGTATCTAACTGTTGAATTGCAGCGGTAAAACGGCTTTCGAGTTGTTCCCAATTAAATCCTGGTACATCAGAGTCCATATCTGTCTCTTGGGACTCATTTTCACTGTCCTCATATGGTACAGGAGTATGAACTCCATCTATTCCTCCTACAAACTTGTTACTATCAATTTGGGCCGGCTGTAACCCAACATTAGATATCTGGCTATCTGTTTCGGAGACCTCTGGAACGGGCGGTAGTCGTGATGATGTCTCTTTCTGTGCCCCTTGATTTGAGAGCGAGTGCTCATCACCTTTTTCGGTAATCATTGTTGCTAACAAATTGTCTTTCTTGCCAAGAGTTGCGCAGGTACTATGGGAGCCTTCAAGGTTGAATTTTCTAATTCACCCTATAAAATGGTTTGAAATGCACCTTGTGAGCATGTTCCTCAGTTATTCTTATCTGCGATTGTCCTGGTAAGGAACAGACCTAAGATTCAACACTAGTTTTGGTGAGTCACGGGCGATAAGGTGTCATACCTTATCGCTTCTCCAATACCTCCACAAGCCCCCACCAAGAATTGTATACAAATCTGTACCGCCAAATACGTCATTTTCAGAGTGATATGCACTAAAAATTAGAATACTTGAACTTGAGCTTTTCTCTTTAATATAATATTACCGTAAAAGCTAGTGTGGTCTTGTTAGGGGCCAGCGCGAGTCCAGGGAAGTTTTCAACAAACTCGATCAAATAGAAAGTCATAATCCCGAACAATCACGATATGCAGTGCGATATTTGTTTCCGAACAGGCGGGCCAAAGTTGCCTTTTTTATGTCCTACTGACGCAAGAAATCGCCTTTATGATTTACGGTTCAGGCATGCGAACGCTCTCGTTGAAGGGAACGCAGCTGAGCAAGATGTGAGCGCTGCCCTTGAAGAGAGAACAAATAGCAGCCAATCAACAGTTTCCATGGCGCGAGTTGAAGTCACAGAGATACAGGCTAAAATGAGTCAAGCGGCTTATCGAACGCAGCATATAATCACCAAGGCAGAGGAGCTGAGAGACAACATTGAGAAAGCTAAGCAAGACCTTGCTCGTAGAAAGAACGTACTATCCCGCAGGAAAACCATCCTAGCATCTGTATTAAATGGTATAGAAGACCAAAGAAATAAACAGATTAATGATATCGAAAAAGCAATTAGAGTTGTTAAATTTAAGTGGAATCAAAATCACACTACATCAGCGTCTGCCAGAGCCTTTCTTTGTGGCGAGGCCGCGCGCCTATACGGGTTGAAATGTGTCAAAAATAAGAATGGTAAAGATGAATATAAAATTGGATCCATTCCAATCATAGAATTGCGACGACTTAACAGTAAGTTCGAGTACAGAACCGCCGGGGAACAGGTTGTTGACGTTATACTTGGCCTATAGCCGTTACAGCAGCCCAAATATCAACCTCCCTCTCACATATCGTGCATCTTCTCATGCTCTCAGCTCATTACCTCGGTATACGTCTTCCTGCAGAGATTACTCTCCCACATCGAGATTACCCACTGCCAACCATACTACCTTTACAATATTCATATAAATCAAATAATTTGCCACATCAGAGTAATTCTCACTCGACATTCAGTCCAGGGGTTTCCCTTCAACTCGATCAGTCCGATCAATCTCGACCCCGACCTCTATTTATCAACAAGCCATTGCCTATTATCGCTTGCGAAGATCCCACAGAACATGCTTTATTCTTGGAGGGTGTTAGCTTGCTAGCCTATAACATTTCGTGGTTGTGTGAAAGTCAAGGGATGGTAATTGGAGAAGACGGTAATATGATGGAGATCTTTGACATAGGGAGAAACATGTTCGCTTTATTGATAGGAGTCCATCCTCGGCCATACTTTGGGTCTCGAGCTACTCTAGCCCCATGTACGCCAGCTCGGGGCCGACGAAATATTGAGCCTGAAACTACCAGTAGAATATCTTCGTACCCCACCATGCTAGGAAAGTACTCACATAGTACGGCACATTCTTTCTTAGGAAATGCTGAAGGGACGGGCATGATTTTGCGATGGAAACTCCCGAGTCCAACAAAGTTATGTGACAACCTTAGATCAGAACTAATGAGCGAAATCGCGAACGCAGAATGGGAAGTATTGAACGCCGATGCGTGGACTATAGATGATGATGAACCGATGGGTCATGATGGGGTAATGATTCGGGCTAAGGAGGAATCAGAACGGGGTCCTAGCTTGGGCATGCAGAGCTTCTTAAGCATAAAAACCGTCATGGATGCCGCCGAAACATTAAGAGCCGAGAGAGAAAGTAGAATTGTGACGAGTGGCTGGACAAAGCTGAAACCTAGGTAGTAGGAGCTAGTCCAATGCACAAGTATGAGATACCGGAAAGTGCTTGTTGGAGTTACTCTGTAAAAATCAATTCTCATCCCACTGAATTTCAATTTTTTTAGAATTAATTTTTTATAATCTTTAGTATCAGCGTCTACCACACACTCAGTGAGTTTGATGCGAATAAAGCTGATCTAAATCTAATTGTATATCATAAATTATGTAGATATCGTACCATCTATGTAACTAGAAGTTTTCTTGACTAATTAAATTTTTGAAAATACATGTAGTCCAACATACTATAAATTTGAATTCCATGAATGGCCCTCTGATCTGTGATACGCTTTTCGCTGGTCCCCTAAGCCGACATAGACGAAGGAAAATTAGCGCCTGTCCACGGTGTCCTATAATGTTGGAACAGAGGTATTTTCTTTGGCGTCAAGTTTTAGCAGCTTTATAGCTCTGACACAATAGTGGAGTCAGAGTACTGAATAAATGGTTCAGTATACAATTAAAGCACTCATGCCTCGATTTCATTTACAAGTACCACTGAGAAGTCATCGTAGCTTTTTCTTCACCAAGACAACCTTCATCCATGAATACCCACCCAAGCAAACTTCTCAAAAACTGAGATATCTAGACATGCCTCCATAATCTATCAACTTATCTCCACGCGGAATTTGATCTTAGATTTCTCCTTCCCAAGTGGAGTAGGTGCCCAAGCTACTCAGACTATACCAGAGAACACCACCAGGAGGCGGACCACAATACCTTCCATCATTGACTTGTGTTTATAATGTCAGCTGCACTCTCGCAAGCGAAGTCTTGGCGCACACAAAGATCAATTCCTAAAACTCCATGCCAACATTCAGAGTTTCACGCCCTTCGAGGTTATATTCTTCCCTTGCATCATCTTGTGAACTTATCCTAATCCCTATCACGTCCATCCCAAAGAACTATCTCCCAGGCTTGTGCGCTACGCTTTGCTTCCTCTGTCGGGTACAAATATCGGCGTAGGTGTGTATATGGTGGCCTACTTAGGCCAGAGAATAGTCGGTGAGAAGTGTGGTCATTGAAACGAGGATGTACTTAGTCCTACTTGTAGACTTGATGAGACTTAGGTTGGGTTCAAACTCGTTGGGAGCGAAAAAACGACGTGGTGGAGTAATTTGAATCATTGCCTCGTGGGCCAACTTGTTCGGTATTGCGAAATTTGACTAAACTTGGCTCTGGAAGAATATTTCACTCCCAGGTTCGTAGAGTACAGCGCGTACAAGTGATCAGTTTTTGCCCTCCGACACTTGTACTTAAAGTGTATACCTCCCACTCTTTTAGCTGTAATCCTAACATGACACTCTTTTAGTCAACTTCATCTTTCGTCCCATGAATATTGCGCCCGTCCCATTGCGCGATATTTCTGATAGAGGCTTATGTTGAAGAACATATATTCTAGTAATATCGGTGCCGTTTGATTCGTCATAGAATGTTGCCGCAAAATGACGAGCACGTCTTCGAAAGTGCTGAATCTAGTAATGTTGGGAATGTAGGCATAGGGACTTTATGAGTCGAACTAGTGGTTCGAAAAAGAACCACATCATCAAAGGGCTACAAGAGTTGATTAAATACTGACCAATGACTATTGGAGATATCGTATTACAATCACCGGAGTATTATCCGATGTCTGTTCTGAATCTCGCCGATCTGCTCGTCATGTATACTCGTTCAAAAACGAGTTTAATAAGACTCAAGTTGATTACAGGTTGAAAGATTATTGATGCTGATTGAGCAGCGTGCAGTAACTGATAAGATTAGATTTGTAATAAAGCTCATACCTCGTCCTAGGAAACGAGGCGGCTAGCAATTGAGTAGTCAATACGTTATTTCTTTTATAAGGTACCATGTAACCCCCGAATAACCATCTCTGGTAATCCAACTATTCATTCTAGGAAACCAAATTGGGATGTGAAAGATACGATGTTTGATTCAATTTCATTTAGCCCGTTCAGGTATATGTAGCTATAATTTTCGCAAGGGAGGAACCAAATTCGGTAAAAACGCCCCAAAACTGTCTGTCTCGTGTCAACTAGTTTCTGAGGTTTCCCACAGGAAGTGCACTCCAAATTAGAATGAAAAAGAAAAGCTGTAGTTAGACAGTCTGTCCTACATATTTAGAAACTCAAATAGGAAATAAACGGATAAATAATACAGGAAGTGCGTTCACACTGTTCATCCGGTGTAAATTCAGTCCTATCCTTGTCCACATCGTCTCATCTTTTGGTCCAACGCTATTTCTACTTCTCCAGCAAGCTGGAATTGTTCAAACCAGCCTTTTGCCAGGATCCATTTCATTATTCTCTTCATATGATCTGGGCTATTCATCATTGTCATAAAGGACCTATCTTATGCCCATAGAAGCACCCCCCCCTCTCTCCGTTGCCCACTGAAGACCAGCTAAGACCATATGTTTCACGTTTTGTGACGGATATCTACACGGGCAATTGGGTTTGCCATTCCAGGGAGCTTTCTCCTACATAAAGAGTTGAGGCCAGTGTGCTCACTTCATATCTGAATTGCAATACTGTATAGGACCATGCTCAGTTCGCGGTGGAAAGATACGATGTTAATAAATGGTTTGACTTACATAGTTGTTAATTGACAAAAGACAAATGGATTGGTAGTAAGATTTAATACATGCACCAGTACCGTTTAATTCAACAGAATCAATGAGCCAGGCTCTGATGTATAGTGAGTGATAGAGCAGGCTGGATCTCAATTTGCAGAGTTGCGTTTGGGAGAATTGGTTGTGACGCGACGTGACATTTCAGCTTCAATCTAGTGGGAAAATGGTACACCACCACGCTATCAGGCCGCGTTCAGACAGGACAGATTATCCGGGACGAGGCGTGACGAGCGAATCCGCATGGTACGAGAAGTCTTTGTTGCCGGTAGCCCTCATATCAACTTTAGCAAACACGTCCGGATGTGCGGTTGGCTCTCGAGTAGCCCCTAATCCTTACCATGGCACGTCTTGTTGTCTCAGGGATCTCGAAATGCTGAAAGCTTGGCTGGCACTGGCCATCACGATTCTGCAGAAAGGGAGGGATCGGCGGTCACGAGCTGGAGAGCTGTGAGATGGGAGAGCCATTGACGGGGCACGGGCCACAATATGTTTAAGGTGAGACGTGGGAGGATGGGTAAGACCCTAATTAGCGGACAGGAGGCGAGCGCGCCTTCGCCGGGACGGGTCGAGCGATTCGCGTCCGAGTCACGGCCAGAACCCCTACGATTTGCTGGCGGACCTAGGATGGCTGGCTCTGCAATCGGGGCGGGAGCGACGAGGGAATGGAGAAACGGCCGAGTTCAGTGTTCATTCCTGACTGAGTGCTTGAAAGCTTACTGCTCTAAATCTGCACATGAATGCCTAAAGAGTGGCTTGATCGTCGGCCTTCGAAGAAAGGGACATGCAGAATGCGACTGTAAGCCCAATGGACATAGGCAAGTCGCATTGTCTCGACGGGCATTTGGGTCGCCAAATATTCGCGTGCAATCTGATCGTCGTCGTTCCGACCACTTCTCGAGACAGGGCCTCGAGCGCTGGCGGAGGACCCCCGTCTGGTCTCTACATAGGACAAAGGCGGCCAGCGCAGGGTTGCTCGCCTCGAATAGCCCGTTCGCCGTCGTGCCGACGACTTGCTTCGGTATTCAAATATTATAGCTCATCTAGGTAGGCTAAGGTGGCACCTTGTAGCTTCGGCGCCGTACAAATGTTAACGCCCTGGGTTGTGTCATGTGCCCGAGCATGTCTCTCCCCGGTGCTGCAATCCACTCCAGCTCCAACTATCTCATCCCACCTCCCCTCGCCTGGCTTTAGTGCAGGAGAAGCGAGAACTCGCACACACACTAATGTCCGTAGCTAGCCTACCATCTTTGTCCAGTCGTCACGTCCATTGTCTCCGCCACAGGATCCATCCAGTGTACGGTGCTTCGACATTGTAAATGCTACCGAATCGCCTAGTGTTTCTATCAAATTTGCGTCTTGGACCAAGCTCGGGCTTTTGGGGCTTTAGGAGTGCGTCGACTGCGGCGAGCGAGGAATTGGCCGATTGACGACATTCATCTCACACGCATGGAGACGCGCTATTCTTCCGTCGTGGCAATAAGACAAACGTTCCCCAGCCAGCGGAACGCCGACGCACAAAGCGCAGGATAATGCGGTCGGATTAGTCGGGCGCAGTTTTCTGCACACGCGAAGGGCTCGGAGGTGAATTGAACCTAATATGCACTTGAAAGCGAGTTCGGTTTAGCAACTATCAATATAGATGGAATCAGCTAAAACTGCGAGATATTCACTCCTCACGAACACACACTGCCTTTGGACGCTACAGAGCGAATGCAATGACGCCATAATGTGGCAGATGAAATTAGAACTCTCCAGACTCGCACTAAGGGTCAATCAAAACCTACGACGAGAGTAAAATTCGTGGTGTCAGAAAATTATTTCATCTTCATTTGCTCTACACATGGTAGTCGCAGCCCAGTCCTCGGCAGCACGTCCCTAATCCAGCAACTATTGTGGCACACATTCATCTCATCAAAGAGACGTCTGGTGTTTCGGGACAAAGTCTGTGTACTGCATATCTCAATTCAAATTTGAGACTTTACTAGACTTCCTATGCTATTAACTCAGGCCCAGCTTCCGTGTATAGTGGGTTGCGCGGCCAAGAAATTTAATGACTTCCGATTGTAGTGCAAAGCTTTGTCGCTTCGATTGTCCAAGTAGCATAATCAAAATTATAATCTCCTGTAATTATTCGTCTGGTAATCTCAATTGAATATCTCATGCTTCAAAATCGCGTGGGCTGGCTAATATAGTCTCTAATTTCACCTATATATTTGAGTGAAGCAATTTAATTTTTATTCGATGAATGGAAAGGTCTGATGGAAGCAAGATGTACCAGAGTGTCATAGCAAAGAGTTCCCGTTCAAGCCACATCTCTGATCAGAGAACAGCTTTTCGACCAAGCCAAGATGGACCGTGGACTTACCGGCCAGTGGTTCCCAACTTTCTCATCATTGAAAAATGGGAAGTTTGGGTCAAATAGGGGCGTTGGGGACAAGTGTCCGAGTATTGACATCCTTATTCTTGTGGGGAGATCCGTGGCAAGGCTGCGACTTTACTGCCGTCTATTTAAAGATGGGCGTCTAGACCCAGCGGGAAAAGAGATTGTTTCTGATTGCAAGACATAGCTTAGGGCATTGGGATTTGGACATGGTAAAATCGCCGTGCGAGGGTCGCGTTATCAGCAGGGCATGGTAGTTTCAAACCACTATATACCAGCATACGGTAACAAGGCGCCAAAAGCCTAGCCGCTCGCGATTGACGTTACGCACGCAGGGATCGTGTTAAATGATGGCAACACGAAGTCAAAGACAAATATCGATCGGATCTACACTCGACCTACTGCTGTGTGTAATGAAAGCAGAGCGTAGATTTCAGGTCTGTCTCTGGCCGACTGTGTCTGCGCCAGCTGACGGTGATTGATGCTACGACACTCTCGTTTCGCCTCGCCGCTCAAGGTTGTTTGACAGACATGCAGATAATATTTCCACCGTGACTCAGTGGCTTGACCACAAATTGCACAGGGAATTATCACTTGAATATCTGTACGGCTTCAGTTAGTTATGTAAAACACTACAGCTAGGCATCGTGAATGTTGTAGTCTCAAGGGCATGAATGACTGATATTTGTGACTGCGGGATCAGGCTTCCTAACAAATCTGGATGCCCATCAGATGACAAATATCTAATTGACGGCGGTATCACCTTCAATGTTTCCCTTTTGTAATGACTCCGGATCATCAGGGCACTCTTTGCTCTGCCGGGTATGGCGCCTCCGCTATGCAGGTGACCCTTAGCCGCTTAAGCTTAGGATGAGCGGTCCATGTTTCAATAGCAACACCTTAGCCGTGCTCGTTGCCTCGTGAGCAGAGGGTCAAGCTACGCATCTTGTGCGCGTATTTCAATGGCCGTAGTGAACAAGACACTGAATTCGTAACGGGCTGGCCCTTATCGTTTGCTATCATGGGCAAAATCTACCTGTGCCGGGTTGCCACGATGATCTCGGGTTTATACACTGTGATAGGCCATGCCGAGTCGACTTGGGCGGATGATAACTCGCGTTCTTCGCATAACTCGTGCCGGTCATGAGCCAGAAGGGTCGGAATAATGCACAAGTGACTCCTGCTAACCGCCCCTGTAGCCCCTGAACTCTGCTCCCACCCCTATCCATTTACCTCAGCCTCCTCCTGAGACTCGCTAATGCACCGGGAATGTTCCACCTGCCAGCGCCGATGTAATGGTGCTCATCGCCAGGGCCTCATCCTCACCCTCCACGACCCCGGCTTGTCGGCCAGAGTATCTCTCCATACCCTGTCGCTCATGAGGAAATTGCCTCGCTCGTTCATCTCAATTTGCACCAACTAAGTTCTTGTCGTCTTGCTCGATACTTTTGAATTGGTCTACCCGGCCGCACGATGCTTGACTCCCCTGCCCTCTCGCCCCTGGAATCTACCTGGCCATAGACAAGCCTACTCTCATTAAGAATGCCTCAAACCCTCACGTACTGTTGCCAGTCAAGCATCCGATTGTCACATTCATTTAACCTTTCAAGACTCTCCTTCATTTGACCCTAAGGCAATTTGACGCCAAATTACACATTCATTCTCTAATCGTACATATCTGCATCTTTATATTGTGAGCTTGCGCCGGACCAATGTTCACATACAGAAGAATCTACTAACTTGTCAAAGATAACTTCATAATGCGTTGCTCAATTGCTGTATCGTGCGTGTTCGCGGCTTTGGCCGTCACCGAAGTACTCGCGAGCCCAGCTCATGTAAACTTACACCGGAAGCTACACAAGAAGAGAGATTTAAACACGTAAGTATACTAACTATCTGTAAATGACGAAGTTAATCATTCTATAACGATAGGGTCAACTGGGAGGCTCTTGATTGGCATAATATGGGTATCGACTGGGCCGAAGCATACGCCAAAGGCCAGGCCGCATCTAGCGACAAGCCTGCAGATCCAGCGGCCAGTCCCGAAGCGGCACCAAGCGATACGGTAGAGGTACCTCCGCCTGCCGTTCCCAAAGCTGACCCGCCAAAATCCAATCAAAGTAATGGTGTCGCGGCAGCATCATTTTCCGAAATCGACTCGTCTACAACTTTTACTGGCACGGCCGCCGGGTCTGATTTGCTAGGATCCTCTCATCCAGACCACGGATCCTCAACAGCGCTCTGGAATAATCTCGTTGGTGCTTCCAACCACCGTAAATCTTTTGGACTCAGTACACCAACTAAGGGATTAGAAGTGGGATATGTCAGCAATGTTGGAATACCAGAGGGATCAAACATGATCAAAGCTGAGTCGGCCAATGACCACGTATTCACCAACGAGTTTATCAACACTTCAAAGGAATCTATGACTGTAGTTATCTGGAACAAGGCTGCTAGCAAAGGCTTAGAAGATCCACTCCAGGCTGACCCAAACTTGGGTGCTTCTATTGCACCAGAACATCCAGCTCTCACTCTTGCTCTAGCACCTGGTCAATCTCAAGTAGTCGCTTTTTTGGATCAATCAGTAGTAGGGTGGGCTCAAGCATGCGATGAAAGAGCCCAGTCAGGAGGATTTTCGACAACATGGGGCGAGGCACAATTCAACACTATCGGGTCCGGATACGACGTATCAGCCATCCAAAATCCTCATGGAAGTAACTATGTAATGGATATCAGTAGTGTTGAGGCCAACTCCTGCGACAGCACTGAGTCAGAAAACATGTGGGTAACAGACACAAACACCGTCGGTAGCGGCAGTTGCTACATCGCACAAGGAACAGCTCACCTAACTACTAAGATGGGTGGTTTCTCTTCCTAAACTTTTTCATGGGGTGTTAGGTGTCACTTTATGTTCTTGGCAATAATACGCGGTTTAAACAATTCTAAGAGGTCAACCACTCCGCACCTCATGTTAACGCAACAGTCTGGAACATTCAGTAAATAGGGCAATGCAAAATAGGAATAGGAGTTACCAAGGTCACCTTTCAGATTTGCTTTTCAAACGTTGGACTATACCCTACCCGCGACTTCTTGTGAATATTATACTTCGGGCCCTAGGGAAACTCCGATTCATTAAGGACAGTAGCTCTGTCACAAGCACTCATGCTTATGGCATAGTAGTTATGTGTCTTCTGAATACCTAAAATTTACTTAATATAGGAGTTTGTCTCAAACGAAATCTATCTAGATCTATAAAATAGAAACTTACCGATTGATGTCATTCAAGTATGACAGAAAACTAGATGAAATGATAACTAACGTGAAGCTCAAAGCGTGAACAAAAGTTTAACTACCCCTTGATAAGGGCATCAGCTCAGTAATCCAATCTAAGATGTGATCACTGAGCTATCTGTTCTAGAGAGACAAAGCTATGATGTCCTGATATGTTGAGTCGTACCTGCCATTTCTGGAATGAACTATAAATCCAAGTCCTTGATCAGACCTCATCCGTCATCATACTACCACATCCCATAACTAATCCTGTCGTTATCTGAAATCATACTCTTGATCATAATAATTATCAAGATTATAAGATAAAATTAACTTCTCAATTTACACAAAAAAAATCATATAAATCATTTTATCTATCTCTTCCCCAAAGGTATCATACATATCAACCTCATATCAATACGCTGGAAACTATATTACATGAATGTCGGTAGTGAGGATTGCCATGGTGGCTTTACTTGTGGCTCTGATCATCTCCGCAGCCATGCTGAAAATTGTGGTTGCTATCGGTATTGATTTATGTGCTCTGAATAAAACTGAAGAAAATGGGAACTTATTTTGTCAACCAGTGCAGGCAATCCGGTATTCAAATGTTGGAACTAATGGTTCTTATCAGGAAATTATCGACATGTCTAGTGATGGTATCTGCACCAAACGTTTGAAATTTTACAATGGTTCCCTAGCTCCACTTAATGAAGAAGTAAGTGAGAGATACAGTAAAAAACCTTCAGACTAACAAATAACGTTGAGCTTTCCCTCCACTTTCGAGGCCCGATTCACTTAATGCAGTTGGCCACTTACAGCACTTCTATGCCAACTCAAGATCAAATATTTAAGCTGCATACTGCTGTTCCATCAGCATCGGGTAACCTGAACATTGTTTCAAAAAGTGTGTGATTAAATACAACATAAAATTATAATTGACAAGTTTGATAGACAGATCAATTATACACGAAAGTTACTATCGTATTGGATATTATCAAGCAGCGTCTCAGACTCTCGAAAATATGACTTTTTTGGGTAATTTCGGCATGTGGGGTGCTGGAGTCACTGACGAGTAAGTCTATAATTTCTTTATCCCTAGCTGGACAATTTAGCTTTTTATCACTACACGTCTGGAACGTGTATTCAGAAATAGCATATTTAAGTAAAATGTGAACGTTCTAGATTTTTTGAAGTCCCCGGCCAGTATTCCAGCCACAATTACTCGTCACTGATTGAGGAACAGACAATACGGTGCCTCAGTTTCTTACATTAATTCGACAAGTACAGGCGGGGCATTGAGCCCACAAATTCTTGCTAACGTAACAATTCCTTCAGACTCTGAAGTGATTGTAATGTCGGGCAAAACATGCCAAGAAGGTGACTGTGGCTATGTTCGTCCAGGATCCGTAGCATACCGTAAGACCTTCCGATATAGTCTCAGTATGAGATTCTTCTAACGGAAAGCAGATGGATTTGGGGGCCCTAATAAAATTTTTCTCATGGAATTTATGATGCCTAGGGATGACAAACGAGGATTCAATGGTGATATGCCAGCTATTTGGTAATATACCACTGAAATGGAATGTCAAATTTTCTGACATCTTCGCCAGGCTTTTAAATGCACAGATAGTTCGCACTCTTCAATATGGGAAGGGTGAATGTTCGTGTTGGCGCTCTGGCTGCGGCGAGTAAGTGGTTTTATCTTATTTCCCCGACTAGCCTATGATGTGCTCATAATTGGATGAAGATTCGATGTTGCCGAATCCCTTTCAAGTGGTTCTTCATTCTTGAAGTCAACACTTCACATCAACCAATTGGCAGGGGACTCGGACTACATCAGACGGCCACTTTACGCTCCCATGAAGCTTGCTGTGGTATTTAATCAAAAATTTTCTTCGATACAGATTCAAGTTTTGTCACAGGAATTTGCGTTTTCTAGAAGTATCTCCATGAGCGCAATCGATGAGTTGCTCAAGAAGGACGCAAATAGCTTATCGCAGATAACTGTCATCTAGGGATCTAACTGTACTTGATACACAAGGGAATGGGAGGAGTTTGATGGGGGTATGTTGCATGAAAAGATGAGTCAGTTATCTAAGTTTGTTGTGGCAGGATTTTAGCTAGTGCAATTTAACCAAAAAGTTAATTTTAATGGCCTTAAATTATGTCCACAATTGCTTTGCAGGGGTCCTCAACATCGCTTTCCGCACATGCGCTGCTAAAGTAAATTGTACTAGGAACTTCATCTGGCAGGCTTTGTATATGGCGATTCGAAATTGAGATTGTGAGGTTGAAGACTGATCAACTGGCTGCGCTATCTATTGGAAAGCTCCTGCTATTATCATGGGGGTTATCGAACCGGAGTGGAGCGGCTACTTTTAAACTTTGAGCTAAATTTTTACATCCTCTCACATAGCGCCTACCAAATTCACGGCTACAATAAAGGCGCTGCGAAAGTTTGGATATTATACTGTACTTATCATTTCAACTGTGGTAATAGTAGCCCTCGTTATATCACAGCATACAATTTCCACCAGCGTGTAAACACAAATCTATGTGAGCAGATTAAGAGACTCTTCCGCCTTTTTTTTTTGCATCAGATTTTAATTGCGTATGCAGATATCTAGCTATGACACAATATCAAAGAAAAGTACAGAATAAATGATTCAACATAAAGGAAGAGCACTCATGCCTCAGATTTCATTTACAAGTACCGCTGCGAAGTTTTGGTGGCTTTTTCTTCACCCCAAGTCAGCCCTCATCCGTGAATACCCACCCATGGGAACGTCTCAAAAACCCTGGGTTCTTCCGCCCTTTAAGTAAGTAGGTTGCGACTCGTCAATAAAATTATCTCTTCACGTTTTAAATTTCGAATATTCTAGCCAGCAGGACCCGCAACTAACCGTATTTCCCAACAAGCCCACGTCCTAAGCGACTCTTGTATGCTAGGCTAGGCTGGGCTAATTCACGGCAATTAGTCTAGACCGAAACTATTCTGACATCCTTATACGACCTGCTGTTAGACCCGTGGCGCGAATCAGAAGAGGTGAGATAATGGCGGGATATCGGATACTCTAAATATATACTATAATAAGGAAGTTAAGGGGGTTTAGTTCTGGAAAGAAGACTTGATGGAGGCATAGGAGGGAGTAGACTACCCGAGCTATGGACATTCCTGATCTTTAAGCAGGAGAGGCCCACAAACCCTTGTATGGTCAATGACTCAGTTATTCAATAAAAATATAGGATAACACAAACCTGGAAGAGAGAGCTAGAGAGGGAGAGGTATGTTTATTGTACTACTTGAGTCTTAGACTATCTAGCACGTTGGACTCCTTTCTAGCCCAGAACACTGTGAAGGGACAAATCGCATTAGCTATTCGCACGAAAGTGTGTCGTAAATTAGTTCATATTCTGTATAAAGAAAGAAGTACTACGAAGACTACATGCTTATCTACTCGATACCGCGCGTCGCGTATGGATTTATGCAGGAGGTACCCTTTACACAACTCCTTAATCCAGCCAAGCCATGTACTCTAAGACTTCTCGATAAATGAACCGGATAAACTCCGGCTATAACTAAACAAGGCACTAGCCTGTAACAGCCACACCTTGTACGGTGCTCGTTGCCTCTCATATTTCTTGAAAGATCATTGATATATTGCCCGTGATGAATAGCCATTCAGCTCAGTATCTACCCGTGGAATTCGGCCGCCTTTCTACGGAACCTTCTACCAAAAAAAGGTAGTATTTAAAACCGTGTGCGCGGGAAAAAGTTTCTAGAACCTGCAACCTCAGCCAAGACACCGCGATCACATGAGGAGCACATATCCATCTTTATCTCCCTTCTTTGTAACAGTCAAGGCCGACTTGATCCAATCCACCATCTCCGTATCGGGTGCTGGGATCGCCCGGGAAACTCATCGGATGGATTCTCCTCCACGATCTCGGCAGTTGACATTATGACGGAACAGATCTACGACGTCTGGGGAGATGATAAAAAAAAGGTGGTATCCATCCTTGGTCTAGAAATCTATGGAGCTTTTGATAACGTATCCACGAAAGACTCGTTCACAACATGAAGCTAAAAGGGATTCCTCTCTGGACCACTAAATTTACTAAGTCATTTTGGGGGACTGTTCTCAATACCTGTCAGTGGAGTCCCCTACGAACCTCTATCTCTCACTGTAGAGTCTGCAGAGCCGAGATTGAGTAACAAAGTCCTCACTTCTACGAGGATTCCCATTCGCTTTCGTGGTCTGTATCGTCTTTATCTCTCAACACATTCCACTATCACCATTATCATGAAGCTAACCACGATCAGATCAGATGGTAGGGTCGAAGCCCTACTCGTCAGCAACCCTTGATCATGGAGGAAAAGCCATCCGATGAGTTTCCCGGGCGATCCCAGCACCCGATACGGAGATGGTGGATTGGATCAAGTCGGCCTTGACTGTTACAAAGAAGGGAGATAAAGATGGATATGTGCTCCTCATGTGATCGCGGTGTCTTGGCTGAGGTTGCAGGTTCTAGAAACTTTTTCCCGCGCACACGGTTTTAAATACTACCTTTTTTTGGTAGAAGGTTCCGTAGAAAGGCGGCCGAATTCCACGGGTAGATACTGAGCTGAATGGCTATTCATCACGGGCAATATATCAATGATCTTTCAAGAAATATGAGAGGCAACGAGCACCGTACGAGGTGTGGCCTGGGTCAGAGAGGAGCCCAATGTGCTAGATAGTCTAAGACTCAAGTTGTACAATAAACAAACACACACTCCCACCCCACCCTACCAAGTCATTTCTAGAAGAGAGGACTACCTCGATAGTCCTTGGATCGTTTATAGGAGGAAGGATCAACACAAAAACAGGGATAACTCAGGGCTCTCTGCTTTCCCCAATTCTCTATTTATTCTTTGCTAGTACTTTACTTCCTCTACTCTAGACAGAATCGTCTTCAGCGATCGGATTTGTGGACGACACCAATCTGGTAAAATGGTAAAATACAATTGAAGAAAACTGCCACAAACTGGAGGAACTCTACGAAGAATGTGCTTCATAGGCTACGAAGCATGGAGTTATATTTGCACCAGAGAAATATCAGTTAATGCACTTCTCGAGGGCCCGGAAACGTCATAATCTGAACTCTACTATCCAAATACAGAGCCACGAGACTATCCTCAAATTGTCTTTTCGATTTCTTGGAATCCAGTTAGACCCCAAGTTAAACTGGGCATCCCACGTTAAAGGATTACAAGCAAAAGCGGAGTCACAGATGCAGGCATTGAGTCGACTAACTCAGTCAACGTGGGGTGCAAATGTCAACAAATTACGACTATTATACTACTCAGTAGTAAGACCGACGTTTACCTATGGATTCCCTATCTGGGCCAGGACTAGACCGGCAGGCATCATACCTGATAGGATACTCAAGCCACTCAGAAGTGTTCAAAGGAAATTCCTACAGCTCATTACGGGGGCATACCAACCGACCAGTGTTAGAATGCTAGAGCATAAAAAATCAACTCTCCAGATAAATATCTAGCTTAAAAAAGGCGGCTTCAATATACAGGGCTATCCAATAAGCTACCTGTCCAACAGACAATTTCAATTGCACGCAGAAAAATCAAATTTTTTGATGAAGAAAAGTTAAATAAACGCGATCAGAATAGGAGAGATGATATAGCGGAATGGACCCAAATCTGCAGCAATATTGAGTCTAAAACGGGACAGAAAGTAGCCGGTAAGGACGCCGCGTTCAAGGAATGGTCAGAATCCTGGACGAGCCAGAAGAAGGAGTAGCGCTTGGGTTACCGAGCGCAAGCCAATCCGGATAAGTGGAAAGCTGCATACTTATAAAACGACAAGAAAACAAGCAGACTCATGATGAACTATAGAGAGTCACCTATCCAAATCCACTAAAACTTTAGCAGAGCCCAGAGCAGCATTGCCACACATGTAAGAATCGAGCTCGTTGGATTCAATGCTTACTTATACAGGAGGAATGTACTAGGAGTAAAAAACCATGTTGTCAGTGTGGATATCCGCCCAAAAATATAAAGTACATGGTGATCTAATGTCCAAGATGGGCAAAGGGAAGAGGTAAGCTGCTACGAAAATCGACAACCCGATCTTTCGAACCTATTGTAAATAACATCAAAGATATGACTAGAATTTCACAGTGGATTCAAAAGGAAGGACGGCTAGAGCAGATTCGGATTATCGGAGAAATCGAGGCGTTAAACAAGCGCAGAGAGAAAAATGTAAATCCAGGACAAGGACTGAATCCACACTGGCAACAACAGTGTGAGTGCACTTTCTAGGGGTAAGACTGTAATGGCGCTGAATCCAATCAGATAGCTTAGGGGGTTTTTACTGCAAGGTTTTCTCCTATGTTAATATTAAAGTTCGTAGACACCCGCACGGGCCTAAAGGGTGCCAAATCGGGCTAAATGAATTCAGAATTCAAAAATAAACATCATGTTAAGTCCAGATGCACGGTAATTGCTACTGAAGTCCGAGGCATTAGTACTCTAATTTTAAATTGAGTCATAAATTCTGTAATTTTTATCTGATATTGTGTCATAGCTAGCTAGCTGCATACACAGTTAAAATTTGACGCAAAAAAAGTGGTTGTATATTTTGTGCCTCACCTGAACTCCTTGATGTTATCTACTATGGGATCTTTTTCGACATCAACACTTTAAGTTAGGACACCTATTCTTGCAATAGTCAAGGTCAATTTCTCGCACCTCCACCAACAGACGCCAACCTGGTGGTATCTATTTTAAAGTACCGGTTCCTATATCTGAAACCTTGGTGTCGGCACCGAAAAAACTCCCGCAGTCAAAAACTATAAAAATAGCCGGACCAAGAATAACTGCCGGTACCTTACTCCCTCCATCGGCCAACGTTCCAGCTCCTAGGTTACCCTCTAATTGCATAGCACTATTAAAGTAGAGGTCCTGTTAAGCCAAAGCCCAAGCTTTCTATCTGATGGATTTATTTTCTTCTTTGTGGGTAGGAGTAACGTCATAACTCTCCAGTGAGAAATAGCCCTCGACAAAAGAGGCAAGCTTCCGTTTTCAATTGAAACAACTCTTTGTTCGATCGTTGAGGCGAGGTGGTATCTTGTAAGATGAAGTTGGAAGACTCGTGTGAGAATGTAAGGATGGAAGTTGATGGGAAGTTGTTAGTTGTAGATATCTCAGTGTTTACTTTCGCGCTCAATTATGATGCGTTACTTCTTGGCCAACTCAGATATGTAGAGTATATAGAGCGTTCACATTGGTACCAGTTGAAGATAAAGGTACCGACTTTGCCGGGTCTATGTATTTGCTGTACATTTGTATATGTCATAGCATGCTGTCATATTGGTGGCGATTGTGGCAGTGAGAATAGGCTAGGTTTGTCATAGCTTTATATGATGATGATGATATTTTTATCGTGACCGAGTACTACCCCAGCACCCAGAGGGCATGGCACGGGTAGTCCAGATCTAATTATGACTCTTCGCTACCTACATCATTGTTTTGTGGAAACCTAGAAACACAAAACTGAAAGCAAATAAAACCACCAGTTCTCAGGTGCGAGTGCCCTGCGCTACACCTTAATCCTCGTACCACACCAATTGGTCCCAAGAAGCATTACAGTTGATCGTTTAACCCCCTATTTATGATTCATTCTTCCTGTAACATTTTGTTACAGTTAAAAAACGCCAGAATTTCTGCCATCCTTCCTGCCCTATCATATCCCTGATCGTAGGACGTGGTTCCTTCGCTTCCGTCCTCCATTTCTGGATAGTCGGGCGACACTCTGCAAAATGCCATGGCCGCTTTTCTCGGCCACATTTGCAAAGCATTTCTTCATTCTGGTGATGGAACCGTCCATGATAGCTGGCGAAGTCACCATGCCCAGTCCTTGCTGCGATGAGGCGGTGATATGCCCATCGAGGTAGAGCTAGCTCCGGAGAGCGCTTTCTCCGCATCAGTAGGTCCAGATCTTCATACCTACTCGATCTGTTCTTAAGCCACCGTTCTTCCGCAAGTTTTTGTACCCGGATGTTCACTTGCCGCTTGAGAGCTGCAAAAGTCAGAACTTCGTAAGTTTCCTCTTGGATGCACTCTGGTCCCGGTATTTTTCCATCCCGATTATTTGACGCAAGGATTGCTTATGCCATCGCATCGGCCTTTTCGTTTCCTGGAATGCCGCTATGTCCCGGAACCCTCATAGCTTTATAGCTGAATACAATATGATTTAAAAAAAAGGATAGGTCTGGCCTGTGCATAGGGGCCCTTGCTGGCTCCACGTTCTTTTCGATGATATAGACTTATTTTCTTGGCACGACTATGTAACAGTCTAGATCTTTGGGTGCAGTGTGCGTTCGAGCGTAGGGGTTGCGAAGTGGCTTACGGTGACTTGGAACTCAAAGCACGCCTGTAATAAGTATCACGGGATGCCTGTGGAGTTCGTTAAGTCAGATGTAAGTTGTTTTGTTCATAATCCTAACAGGAAACTCTTAATATTACAAGCACGCTAATACATGATTACATAATTGAAGGCGAAGGCTGAACACCTGTCAGTGGTGCCCTCTACGAACCTGGGAGTGAAATATTCTTCCCGAGCTGAGATTCAGTCACTAAAAAGGGTAGGATAAATTTTTTTCATGGATTTTCAACTTCAAGGAGTTGCACTCAATATTTTGGTCGAAAAGTCAGTCGGCACAGATTTCACAGCCGGAACAAATTTGAACAAGAACTCATCACTACCAACATACGATTAACGAATGGATTTAGGTCTATCTGGGGGTCGTATTCAAACATCCGACATCTCTCAAACTCCTTTTGTATTTGCGACGATCCATTTCTCAGCCGATCCTACACCTGAGACCCACTTATATACACGTCCGATCACCTACCTACACACGTCCTAATGAGAAAAGTCATGATAGAAACGGGACGTGTACATAGGAGGAAGAAGAGGGAAGATGCACCGAGGGGATTACACAAACCCCAATGACGACAACAACCCAACGGTACGATATGAAGGTGCAAGGCTAGAGCAACGATGAGACCTTGGACGGCATTTGTATTTCGGATTCAATGAGGATGTCAAGGGCTCGGGCGCGTGGTGGCCGAGGCTGAGGAGGAAATTGCGCTACGGCGTGTATACAGCCGGTTACTGGACGTTTAGGCTTGACATGATTCAACACAAAGGTGAAGTCTGAGGTGGTCCGGCCATGTAAGTGGGACGAGGTTTATCTGTACTTTACGGTAGTTAACCTGATCCGGCCCGACCCCACTCGTGCTTAAGCTCCAGTAGTCGTCTTCTTGTCTTGTTCATTTACGTGCTAGGTAAAGTGATTCCCGTTGCGCTCCTACTGGAGTTTAAGCACGAGTGGGGCCGGGCGGAATCAGGTTAACTACCGTAAAGAACAGATAAACCTCGTCTCACCTAAATGACTGGACCACCTCAGACTTCACCCATGTGTTGAATCATGTCAAGCCCAACCGTCTAGAGAACCTTCTTTTGGCGCGCCGAAGCGCAATTTCCTCCTCAGCCTCGGCCACCACGCGCCCGAGCCCTTGACACCTTCGCCATCTGTAACTTTTCCCTTCGCTTCATTCCCAGCTTTGACTCATCTCAGCATCTCCTCATCTCATCCAGGGGTCGTTTTCTTCACTGGAGGCCTCATCCAGTCGCCCAGCAAGGCCTCCTCAGTTTGTATCCCCTTTTAATTCCTTCATGCAGCATTCCTCTGTCCTTCAGCCGATCTCGTCGTCCCAGAAACTTTGTAGAATATCCAACCCTCCGGCCTTGCTCCGTCGCTGCCGTACCCCTAACCGTGGAGTTCGAAAACGCGACTGAGAGCTCAAGACCGAGGCACCGGTGCCCCAGCTTTTGTCAAACGCTCTAGTTAGTGTGCCGGTGAAATGTCGTACGTATTTCGTCGGTGGCGATTCGTCGTAGGTCGAGTTGTTGGTGCCCTTGGCCGAGGTGAGGACGCATTTAAGGCCGGTATTTCGACCGTACCTTCACAGCGGATGGCAGTTGCGTAGGGTCGGAAATCCTCTTGCTTCTTAGTTGGCGATTTGGCTTTTAGAGGTATAGGATTGCTTAGGTGGGTGGTGAGATGAATGTTGAGAGGGCCGCGAGATGAGTTTGGCTAGGAGTGATTTTCCAGAGAAATAGAAAATAAGATGTTGAAGGTGTCGGTTTTTGTAATACGAACATCAGACAGGTTATAGGCTGTCTGCGGTTCGTATCTGGGGTATAGATGGTCGATTTCGTTGAGTTGTGTAGTCGTGAAGTCTCTGCAAGTCGGATATTCGACCAAAAATGAGCCAACACCACTCCTCCCGATCGCCAACTCGATGAAAACTCTCAAAATTCACCCTTTGTCGTGACTGAATCTCGGCTCTGGGAGAATATTTCACCCCCAGGTTCGTAAATGACACCACTGACAGGTGTTTAGCCTTCGTCATTCCAGTAGGAGTGCAACGGTAGTCACGTAACCTAGCACGTTAATGAACAAAACAAAACATGATTACATAATAAGTCCCCACTGATCATCTAAACGCAATGTCCCGTGACCTGGACACACAGCAGGGTTTGTGCACGTCACGAATAAAATTTAAATCATTCACTTTGTAACAGTTTAAACTTCCGTGGACCGGTACGTAATTATAACCTCACTGCGATGCCATGAAACGCAGACTAGAAATCAAGAAATGTATCCTTATCGGGTCTCACTTCGTTGAATATAGTATAGTTCTATCTGAAGGCCCTCAATCTTGTAAATTAATTCGATAACTCAAGCATCCATAGAAAAATTCCGATCGATTCTATTAAAAGTTAAATCTACGGCAAAATAATGTGATGTGTGAATAGAAAGGCAGGTACATAGGGTGTCTTCAGAGAATAGAGCAATCACTTGCAGACTTTTATTTATTCTAAATTCTCAAAATTGAGAATGATTTTTCATCTTCACATCAGAGGATTTTTCTGGATATTTTGGTATTTTAATTACGCCAAGGTTATATCACAGGTTCTGAATTCCAACAACCTCGGGGAAACTAATTATGACTACGTTTGCGCTGGGATATACTACAATGTTGAAGCCGTAAAGAAAAAACATGATATAGCTTGCGATATGCTACATAATGCCAAACCAGATCAAATGTTTCCGTCACACTTGAAAGAGACTCAAATCTTCGGCACATATTCTGAGGCTCTGTTCACATGGCCGATTACCTCTGATAGTATAACCTTGAAGAATCGTAAGCCTACCTTAATCCCTGTATATCCCTCTCCAGAAAGTGGTTTCAATTTTTGCTTACATTAATACTTAAAAGCTATTCCCCGAGATGCTCGTATTGTCATCAATCTGAGCTGCAAATTCTTCGGTCTTATAACTAATGGAGATAGTGGCCCTAAGAGATGTACTGAATTATTAGCGAATGAGGACGAGATGAGCTCTGCTTCAAACTTAGAGGAATTCAAGGGCTTCAAATGTGGAGATGTAATATTTGAAGATTCATATCTAGAAAAATCCCTAATTGAGGCTAATCGGGCAAAACCTATCGACTCATTCAATCATTATCCTCGGACGCATCAATCGCAAATAATTGGCCACAATCACCTAGAATGGCCTATATTTAGACAAGAAATTACATTCAAACCATCAGGTATATATCTTTTATTTCGACATAATTGAATAGATCTGAAGAGTAAAATTAGGAAAAAATCCACTATCACGAGACTATTTTCTTGTTTTCTCGAAGAGTAATCAACCTATGAAAGTAGTCGAAGTTCATAAAAAAATATACCATGAATGCAAGCGTTACAGGAGAACTAAAGTGACATCCATTATCCCCTCAGGCTTTATGAATGCACCAGTAAGGGTACATAAAGGAATGGATCAAACCTACAACTGCAAGGATATAAATTTTGAAGACTACTATATTCAGTCCAATAAAGAAAGGGCTACCTATCTACATGGCACTAACAGTCCCAGAAAAGGAATGAATGACAAGTATCCCGGCTTAGTCAAGGGAAATGGGATAACTCTCGAAGGAAAAGTCTGGCAGTGGCCTCTTCGAATTCCAGAGCAAAAGAAAAAAAGTATGAAATATTTACCATTCTCTAGAGCTTGCTAATTGATTAGAACTGTCACATAAAACAAGCTACATGCTATTTTTTGATGACTTGAATAATTTTTTGGGAACATATTATCTAGAAATGAACACCTTTCGAGACTGCCGAACAAGGAAAGAATTAAAACATTGCAATAAGAGTTCAGACTTCTGTGGAATTGATTTAAACAAAGATCTTCCAAATTGCAAGCACTGTTGGAGTCTCAAAAAAGATTGTTGCCAGTCTAATGTACAAAATTAATACACGAAGTGTAAAACTTTAGTACAGTAGATCGATTGTAGTACAGTAACTTAATTACAAAAGATACTCTATACTTATCGCAAAGCCCGCTGGTGTGAAATGCTTGTTTAGAATACTAATGCCTACTTTCAGGTGACGCTTACGACTTGGTCTAAAGCTTCCTATTTCAACAAGATGGTTCTTCAACAAAAAGCTAAGCTATATCAGTATTCTGATGCTCAAGTTCTAGTGTTCTATAAATTTAAGGCATTCGAATCGAGCCCTGGTTGAAAGAGTTATCCATCAAATCGAGACAACTACTAATTAGCTGTTAGTCTCTATTGTTAGAGTCCTGATGAATAAATTTACAACACTGGCAAAATTCTCGACAGCTAGAGATAAAGATATGGTTACAAAATTTATATTTTTCAAAATTACTTAAAGGACTGGTAACGAGCCATCGATATCGCGTCTCGTCATAGGGATACGGATAATTGTGTCCCGAGTCACAATGAAAGGAATGATTTTGAATCCTAAATCAATACATTAATTACTACTACGACGATTAAAAATAGTCAACATTTGAGACAGGTTATAGTTTTGATAAAAGACGCTAGTCCCCAAAATGTATGTAACTAAGCATATATTTTGGTTTAGAAGATCGATTAGATCCATCCGACCCATTATCAAGCTTCCTAATTTGAATTAACGTTGTTGTAATGGAAGTTGTATAGAGAAGCGTAAGCTGTTAGGCTTGTATTTAATATCACCTAGTGAAGCGAGTTAGGAGATTGAAGAGTCTGAAAACTTTAGTGGAGAGTTGTTGATTAAACCCACTTAGTATCAGAGCGCTAATTAAACTAATTACTACATCTAAGTGAAGGACACGATTCACTTGTTTATGCTAAATAATTGGGAGGCTGGTCAATGTGAGGATCCAAGATTGACAGACCTCTAGATTTAGTACCAGGCTCTCATAAATTGTAATGCTTATGTAATGTTGTTCACGTTGGACTCCGGGCGCAAGATAAGGAATACTGTACTTATATAGACGATACCCTGTATTAGGAGGGCAAGACTGAACACCTGTACGCGGTATCCTCTACGAACCTGGGAGTGAAATGTTCTCCCAGAGCCAAGTTCAGTTAAATTTCGCAATATCAAAGAAGTTGGCCCACGAGGCAATGATTCAAATTCCTCCACCACATTAATTTTTCACTCCCAACGAGTTCGATTCCCATCTAAGTCTCATCAAGTCTACAAGTATGACCTATTACATCCTCATTCATATGACCACACCTCTCTTCGACTTTCTCTGGCTTCAGCTAACCACCAAATATACGGCCACGCCAATACTTATACCCGACGGAGGAAACAAAGCGTGGCTCACAAATCTGGGAGATAGTTCTCTGGTGTAGATGTGAGGGGTATCAGGAAAATTTCACAAGATGATGCAAAGGATGGGTACAATCTCGACGGGCGTGTGATTTTCAATTTTGGCAAGGAGTTTTACGAATTGAGCTTTGAACGCGCCAGGACTTCGATTGAGAGAGTGCAGGCAACAATATAAACATGGCCATGGCTGGATGGTGCGGTGGTACATCTTCTTGGCCGGTCTGCCAAGTAGAGTCTGGATAGCTTGGACACATATCCCACTTGAGACAGTAGATCGCCGGTTCGAATCCGGCAAAACACAACCTCATTTCTCGCGTCGCTGGTGTGCATGGATGACGAAGGCATGCTTGGATAACCAAAGGTTTTGAAATTCCCTTTGGAGGGTACTTATGGAGGAGGGTCGACTGTTTGTGTAAGCGAACATACCTCATAGTGGTATTTGCGAATGAAATCCAGAGTATGAGTGTCTCTAACGTCGATAGAGTCATCCTACATGTATACATAGCACTGGTAATGTGTCATAGCTCTATAGCGGAATACACTTAGATGATTTAAAAAAAATACGAAATGAAACTTATGGTGAATTCCATCCCCATAACACCTTACATAGTCATAATAAATCACGTGAACTCCTACATTCCCATCTCCATTTCAACAACAGCTAAGTATATCTCATTAGGTCTAGACAGATATATCATGAGCCATACTTACAACACCCCTCTAGATAGGCTGTTGACCAGGCAATCACAGCCCCAGGCATAATTCAGCACCACAAAGCTTCTTTGATAAGTATTCTCTAGAATCTTCGTGTCTTCTCTAGAGGATTAAGTACATCAACATCAACATCAACATCCAAATTTACTATTAACTTTAAAGCTATTTAGATAGTTTCAGCTTTCCTTCATAGTCACAGACTCAGTAGGAATATAAATAAAATTCTATTCTAGCTAGAGGATATGGCGCCCCCGGCCCGCGACAAAAATCGTGGTACATCCGAGACGTTAGATGCCACGAAGCGCATTCAGAAGCATGTCAAGGATTCTGGGCGAGAACAGCTATCCGCTGCTTGAATAACTCGCTTCGCTTCGAAAATTTACGCAGTAATATCCAGCATTTCTGCGCCTCGAGGTATAAGGAAATGGTTAAACTGTCCTTTGCAGCTATTGATGGTGACATGAATTAAGATGATGATTGAGATAGATTTCTATATAGTTTATAATACATGATATGCTCAGGTTCATATACCTCGAGCCAAGCAACCAGATTATGTTCCTCTAGATCTAGATTCATCAGAATAATTACTTACTCAGTAAAATTCTCCTAGTCTCAGTTGTGTGTTTAGGATCTTGATTAGGTTTCTAGTAACTAGTCAATGATGTTTCTCATATCACTGAGACATAGTCATGGTTGATACAACAGGTACAAACAATGAATCGTGTCTGTACATGACGTTGTGATATAGTCATGATCGTCTGAACAATATCAACTCATGAATGGATCATGTCTCTACATGACACAAGGTCCACAGGCTGTGCTGTCCCCCTCAAGCCTCTCCCACGCCGATATGGTCGTCGACAAACTCCCAAGTCCCAGCGGATACCCAGGATTCTCACTTCAGCCGCCCTAGAACGACCTCGCTGACGATCTTCCTTGAAACGCCACGGATTTGGAACAACACTTAACACCGAAACGTAAGCTTGACATAGACGACGCAGAGATGAGCCCACAGACCACCAACCTTATGTCAATGGCCAGAGGTCATCTGAACCTAGTCGGCACATACTTTGAAGAAATGGATGATGTCTGCCCAGGAGCAGGAGCTGACCTTCTTGCCCTTATTTCCCATGGAGTATCCCGAGAAGTCCGCGGGGAAACAATTTACAGAAGCTCCACAAATTCAGCGGGTGCTAAGGATAACGAAATCAATCGGAACAGAAATACCTGGGCCGCCAAAGCTGCAACTAGGAAAATAAGCGGGACAAATGTCGGGCTCCACCACAATGAGGTTCCTGATGGATTAGTATGTGTGAAAAGTGAGATAAGCTTAGCTTTAAGATGGCGTAGGTTACGGTTGTCTCGTGGCTCCAATCTACCAATATGTATAGTAGAGCTTAAGACTAGATGTAACTTGGTTTTCTATTAATACAGGGTATCGTCTATACAAGTACAGTATTCCTAATCTTGCGCCCGGACTCCAACATGAACAACATTACATAAGCATTACAATTTATTAGAGCCTCGTACTAATCTAGAGGTCTGTCAATCTTGGATCCTCAACAACACCAAAGCAAAGTAGATGAGCGTATAATTATACGTCTCGACAGTCAACATGAAGCTCGAAAAGCGGATCCATTCCTACTCCGACAGCAAGTTCAACAGCCCATCCCCGACTCATCGTTGTAGATTCATGGCAAGTGCCCTCAGGAATCGCAATATTTGCACCTACTTCGACTAAAGCGGGCAATATTCTTGAGCGAAAAAATAGCATTGCCGCATGATTCGGTAACGTCACGCAAGAAAGACAGGAAATTTGGACAACTCTTGTCGTTGGGCCTGTCTCAAAAAAATTTACCACTCTGGAGAGGGCTATTGACCCAGTCAACGGCATTCTCTAGTCAGAACCTACCATATCGGCCATAGAAGATACAATGACCATTTTTCAACTAGTTTATGTTGGAAGATATACTCTATACGATATTATGTGTATATATGTGATGAAGTAAAGAAGACTTGTATATGTTGTAATTAAGGCAGCAACATGACTGCAGTAAACAAATAGTACATATTAGAATAATATGCACTGGCGCCATGAGATATGATTAACCCATATCATCACTCACTGGCATGAATAGTAATTAGCCAATAGATGCCTAACAGTATACATTGGCTTCAGAATCTCCAACAACCTTCCCGTTTAGGTTAGATTAGGGAGTATGTTGGAGTTCACACTAGTGTGCGGAAAACCCCGCTTTCATGTATATAGAGGGACTTCTTGCCTCACATATAGAATTATAGCAATTTAATCATAATTAACTATCCATTAAACATCAGTAAACTTCTTCGTATAGTAAACACATTTATCGTATCTCTTAATCAAACTTGAGGCTAGTGTGTAATTCTTCCAATCTCCGGAACTAACTTCAATTGTATATACATCTTAGGGAGGAGTTTCCGCTAGTCTCATGTGCCTGTCAAACCTAGTGATAACAAGCCACCTCTCATCTACCATTTAGAGCCAAGGTACACTGTAGTACGTAAATATCCAAACGTATATGCTACAACAGACGCGATTAGCGCACTCAGGGCATATGCAGAGAGAGTCTCGATCTTATCGGGAACCTGAGACGAAATAGATAATGGTTGAGTCCTAAATTCGAGAGTCAGAATTTCCAACAGTTTGGACCAGATTTTCAGCTGAATCTGCTAGCCCAGCCAGGCTTATACGAATACACGTCCTAGAAGCTAAGGTGCACAAGTTCCCATCACGAATGCAGCTATTTGGACAGGCCACGTGTGCGTAAATGGTCTAACGAAGATCTAGGTGGTCGATAAAAGTGATGAGTGGGCCGAAGGGATGACTGGTCTTCTCTAGGAAGAGACAAATAGGTAGATAGTAACGGCAGAGATTACACGTGAGTCTTGCCGACGAAGACCTGGAAAAGAGATAAATGGTCTTTCCGAAGGAGAGATGGGTAAACGAATGTATTGTTAAGGTAATTGTAGAAGACGTTGCATGAAGAATAATGCTTCTTCACGCCGAGTATTTATATACATAAAATTACCAAATAGCATGAGGCACACAGCCTCTATGCCAAACAATCTGCTACACATCACCTAATGAAACTAGCCTATTCTTATCAGTCTTCCTTACTCGTTTTAGAAGTGCATTGAACCACTCTTTGTGTTTTAACCTAGCCGTTCGCATGACGTTTCATGTTACGCTGTACCACAATGATCAATGAAATTATGATTGACTTGATTTCTTGATCTATAAATATAGACATGCGTTAGGGATATAATAACCCGCGGCTCTAAGTACAGAATATAAGCACGGACCGAAGCAAGCAACCAACGTATGTATGAACAGCTCCTATTTTTGACCCGACACATTTCCCTGTCCAAATTCTTCGGTAGTAACTCTTAGCCTTCGACAAGGAGTGAATCATGGAGAAGTTTTTTGGTCTGTAAATAAATGTTGTCATTTTCTAGATAACATGGCCTAGCAATAGTAGACTTTAATTCGCTTGATCCTGAAGGCGGCTCAACCTCTGTTACAGACTAGTGCCTTATTTAGTTATAGCCGGAGTTTATCCGGCTCATATATCGAGAAGTCTTAGAGTACATGGCTTGGCTTGATTAAGGAGTTGTGTAAAGGATAACTCATGCATAAATCTATACGTGACGCGCGGTATTGAGTAGATAAGCATGTAGTCTTCGTAGTACTTCTTTCTTTATACAGAATAAAATTCAATTTACGATACATATTTTGCCAATAGCTAATGTGATCAGTTCTTTGACAACCTCACAGGTTTTATTTTCGACACTAAGTAATCTGAAAAGGCCCGTCTATTGACCTGATTGGCCAGAGATACTTTCACGCCGTACAAGGACTTCGGAGTTAATCGGTAAGTCTTGAACGCTTGTAGTATCCGGGCCATTTCGTTGGCTTAAGGCTGTATTTAGTAGTTTTTCAGCTCAAATCTTTTTAAATTCACTCATTGCCTTTTTGAGGGCAATAGCTGGTCGGGAAACGGATGGCGCCGCAGTATCTGAGTGCACCATCCGTGGATATACACTGAAAACAAGTAATGTAGCTACTCATCCCTCGAGTACAGCGTTATTATTAATTATTTCAATTGCCATTTGGAACTTTGATTCCTTGGTAGCATTATCTCCTTTTAGTTCTGCATTAATTATGTTATAAACGCGCCGTAGGGTGAAAAGTTAGCGCTCTGATATTCCTACTGACCAATTCGCTTCAATAGAGATGTTCTCTACACAAGTTGCGTTTTGCTAAAATTTCCAACTTGTAAAGTTTTTACCGGCGTCAGTTACAATATGTTCGGGCAGGCCAATATATACACCAATATAACAAGTTCGTACAGCGTCCCAGGTATCATTGGCAGTCTTGCTCCATAGCCATCTTGCTGCTTGGAATCTTGTCGCTTCGTCAACTATGTGGAGAATTGGATTTCAGTTAATCTACATGATATCAACTACTATGGAGCTATTGAAATCTAAATCTTCATCTTTGAGACAAAGTTTGAGTTTATTAGGGGGTCCTGTATGTTTCTAGTAGAACTCGTAAATATTTATCAAAAGATCTATTGCTTTCTTTTCAACCATGTCATGACCAGATCGTTGTAGTATTCTAAACCATATTTCTGCAGGTGTATGACCAAATCTCCGTCACGGACTGACCCTGTAATGTTGTGTTGCACCTGGCCAACCGTGTCGTGAGTGTACTCAATATCACAGTTAATGAGTTGCGATAGTTACAGTGTTACGATAGCAACAGTTACCACTCAAGATACTAATCAGTTGCTATGATACGGATGTAGGCTATGGCACCACTGGTTATAGTAGCTGCTCTCATGTACTAAAGGGAACTCTGAGACTGTATTTGTACTGTAGCTTCTTGTCTTATAATTTACCTACTTTCTTGAACCTCATCTTCGTCCTCGTCCTAGTCTTAGTTCACCGTCCGCGAGCCCTGACAATCTACGATGAAGTATTTTCAATTCAGTTTGTTAAAAAGCATGGATTAGAATAGAAAGAATTTGTTATAGAAGAATGTAGTAATTTTCCCCAGAGTAAGAACGCTTGACCAAAATGCCGTATAACCGGCCACGATTTTGAATTCTTTACTATTGAATTATTGAGGGTTTCGAAAGTAACACCTAGGTTATCAATGTTGGAGAGACAAAGTAAAAATGGTGTAGTGGCGTTCACAACGTGAAATTCACCCTGTCCAATGGGCGTAGTTAAGGAGATAGAGCCGACTGAGGTACTACTGCCAATGCCAAATTTGAAGTTGATTACACCTAATTTTGTGGTGTTGATTGGCAAGGGCTGGACTTTGCAAAGTAGATTTATTGATAAATGCCAGCAGAAGAGTGCTTTAAAGCTTCTGTATTAATTATTGCACAATAGAATATGAAGCTGTTATACCCTCTGGATGTAATAAATGAAAAAGGGTCTTTGTCCACTTTGCTGTTATCAGTTGATAAATTGAGATCAGTGATTACATGCTCAAAAGATCTATTTTACAGCGTTATCGTAACATCTTCTGGCTATTCTATAAATGAAAAGGAATTATAGATTGTATTATTAACCTTGTCTTTAGACTCTAATGGGGTGGTATCGAGTATTAGGTTTTGAATTTGAATATCGAGTGGATTATCTACAGATTTATTATCATACTCAGACTCATATTCATATTCTGCAATGTAGTGGTCCAGATTCCGATCAAAGCGTTTTGCAATCTATTCCTCTAACTTCTTTCTTACTTCTTGTTGTTGGTCCCCTGAGTAATTTTTAGACCAGCCGTTATGATTGCAACCGTTACACTTTCTTTTACTAAAATCGGATGATGCCTGTTTGTTTGTTGGGCGAGATCTAGCTACTGAATAGATGTTCGAATGAGAGCTTGAGCCTTGTTTATAACATCGCCTATCTGTGTAAAAATTTTATGATGTTAGCACATTAGATTTTTCAGAGGTTGTAATTGAAGCTCGAAGGTCGTTAATTAGGCCAGATATAGTTTCACTGGGCTTGAAGCAGGCATACCTATAGGCTGGAATGTTGTGACACGCGTTTACAAGCTTCATATGGAGTAAAGAACCTGTTCGAAATTCAGAATTGATAATCAACTATAATTGATGTAGCTCTGTCGGAAGGTTTTAAATAATTGTCGGTTGATTTTTTCTCTTGTATCATAAGGCTTAAACTCAGTGCTGTCCACCCTTGCATTTTTTCCTCTCTTGTACCTAATATTGTCAAAGTACCGCTGTGTAGAATCACACATCTCATCAGAAGTGGCGTGTTTGTAAACACTCAAACTTGAGTAGTAATAATTTAGAGCAAGTTCTTTGAGCATCGTAGGATATGCTTTTGTATAGAAATGACAAGCTACATCGATCCTGTCACACAGTTCACGGAATATGGTGAACTTTTAATCAAAAGAATCATTTTCATCATTATATCTCATATCTTTCTCATACATTCTAGTCAAATATGATAACTCCTCAGCGTATCCTGAACTTGCGCTTCTAGTTGGATATTGGCTGTGGGAGAATACGTTGCGGTGCGACGATAAGGCCTGGGCTTTGATTTATCTATCTATTTTCGAAATATCTTGATGAGGCTCGGTTCTTAGTTTGGGGTTGATGATAATTTAGACT